CTTAAATATATTTTACGTAGTAATAAAAATATAACTTGACATACGTATTTATAAATAATTTATATTCAAATTACATCATTTCTATGACCAAGGGCGGAGTAAGGCATAAACGACGTGGGCCACCGCCTATGCCTCGCGGTCCGAAGGGCCTCGCGCCTCGAAGGTTTACGCATTACTTAAAAGTCGTGAACGCGACGAAAAAATTTTACTCGTCGTAAAACGATAAACAGTTTGCCAAATTTTTATTCATAAACATGCAGTTTCAACTGCTTTTTATTTTATAAAATCCGTCTTCTTGCGCCGCCAGAGGGCCTTTTCAACAATAGCTGGTCTGTTAGCATTGGTCAGTAGTAGTCCAAATGCAATACGAACGTTTGTTTCTTGAAAATTTGATCACGATTTAAATACAGTACGTATTTACTTTTAATATTACCGATATGTCATCGAAAAGAAAACGTGTTGTATTATCATTAAAAGGCAATTCAAGTATTTGTTTCGATTATCCGGATTTTTCCTTATCCGGACTACCTTCATCCCCAATTAGTCCGGATAATCGAGGTTCTACTGAATATATACACACACACACAACTTTAAAAAAATACCTTCAATGAAAATACCCAAGAATAATACTTAATCCGCCGAATTGCAGCCAGCCATTTCTCTTTCCTTCCAGGGTATTTTTCATTCAGAAACGAATAAAACTTTGTACCTGGCGGCGCAGTAATATACGTAACACTACAACCGACCACACAACAGGTATTTTTTGAAGTTTTGTGTAGCAGAAAGCTGTTATTCATTATACAGAAAGAAAACAAACACCGTATTTCACTATGTATCTAACCCAAAGACGCACGTGTTTTCCCAAGTTTTCTTTGCCTGCCTACAGGTGGCGCTCAACTCAGTTTCACTAGCTCTATATTCATTGTGGGTTCTATCATTCTTATAAGGGGAAAAGCTGCGTTCTGAAAAATGGGGCTTATTATACATGAATTAAATCTCCTATCAGAATTTTTGAGAGTCAAAGTGAACTCAAATTGAATCCTCCAGACTGGCAATAGGCGGCCGGATGACTGAGGCAGAACACATCTGCTTAGCGCTTTGGGAGAAATGGAATCGAATCTGTGCGAGCAATCCCAAAAATTTTTCGGTGGTGATCTCTCCCAGATATGTCCGGCCTTTGATGGCCAGATGGCCGAGAGGTCAAAGTGGCAGCCTACCGCTCTTGGGAACCCGGAATTGAGTCCGGAACGGGTCGAAAAATCCCCAGAAACTTTTCGGGAGCTAGTCCGTCCGGATATGTCAGGCCCCGTCCCTCACTACCCGGCCGACCCCATAATGGGCTTGCTAAAAGAGGCCATCTTAGTGCCCAAAGTGCGGAAAGACAGAAAAAAAACCCCAACTGCCCCATAATTGTCCGGGCCAAATTTACTATAAATATGATTATAAAGTGCCAACAGAGTAGATTTATTTTTTAAACATAAATATTTATTTAATTCGAGAGAACGATATATTCAAATATTTTAAAAATGTGTTATAAATTAAATTTTAAACTAAGCATTCAAAGTCGTTCAGTCTGTGGTAATGTGCTGCCATCTATCTTTAGATTTATAATACTTTTCTGCACACTCAGATAAAAAATTGCCTCAATTTTATTCGTTTTCAAAAATGAATAATATATAAATAAAATCGATTTTATTAATATGCGGGTTGGATTGTTCAATAAAGTTAAAAAACTAAAATAATTAACGATTAGTATCGTAACAAGGTTCTACAATTAATGCGGAATAGATAAATACGAAATAATCGACCTTCGACTAAAATTCGAAACTGCATAATTTCGTAAAATATAAGAAGGAAAAATTAATTAACGCTTAATTAGATTTAAATTAATTATTACTTAACACTTAAACAATTAACAAATAACGGTTTTGTAATTTTCTTCGAGTGCGGAGATGGAAAAACGTCATCGAGCACGCCTGCGTGCGAATGAGCGCGCTTGCGCATGTGCTCGAACACCAAAACAAAAACAGAAACAAGTAAGTACACATGGCGATCGGCGGATAGTTTACAGAATGCTTAATATGAACGTTAATTTCATAGAAATGGATAACGCGGGAAGTGAAATGGTACAAACGGACGTAGAAGATTTAGTTGTAGCTCTGCAACACAATCTGAGACTTAAGTCTAGGAAATGCCACTTGGTTTGTTCTAAACAAAAGAGAATGTCTCCCTACAGGATCCCTACCAAAACCAGCAGTAAACAATCGTATGGAAGTACATCATCGCCGGATCCCGTACACGAGGTATGTCGAACGAAAATAAAGAAAACAGGAGGAACAACAGATCCTTATCAACTACTACAAGAGTTACTAAACGAAGGCTCGTTAGTGAAAGAAGCAGTTAGGAGATTGCAACTAGGCCTTCATTCATCAGCCAGGACTAAATGTTCCAATTACTACGATTGCGAATTCGATAGAAGTTGTAGTCATTAATGCACACTCATTTTTCATTAGTGTTTTGTGTATTGTCTTTTATCAGGTATAATTTTATTCCAAGTCTCGTAGGAACTTAGAAGAAATGCCTTTGTTCTCGAAGATGGTACTGCATTTTCGACGGTTGTTTATCACCATATGCTATTGTGGCATATTTATTTATGATATTTAGCATCGTGTGTACCGATTAAAAAACCGGTTGAGAGGACAATGGCACAGAATGTGTAAACAGAACAGCACTCCGTTAATTGGACATTGTTTTAAACGTTTAGATCGCTTATCTGCTGTTTAAAAAAATAAATAATTGACATTTATGTACCTTAATTTAATGTGTTAAATCATATTCGTTTTAAATTTTATACAAAACAAAAAAAAATTTTAAGCTAATCTTGAAAATTTGAATATAGAGAATTTAAAAATTTTTTTAAATGAATGAAGTTAACGAGTTAATTTTACAAATAATCATTTGATTGGAGACTCAGATATGGATAGGAATTTTAATATTCAGTATTAAGGAAAATTTTTTATTGTTTTTTAATTCATTTTCTATTATTGTTTGTGGCATTTTTGTTTTTTCATGACTTCCTTCATGCTTTGTGCATAACTACCCTATTTGGCTTTGTGATTCCGCCAGTCTTTCGTTTGCTGTGTATTTATTTGCATCTGGAAGGCTAGAGGTAAATGTTATCTTAACGGATAGACGAATACGGTCCCAAGGACGGTTATGTTGACAGAAGGAGAATTTTATCATTATTAAAATATCTTGTTTTACTTATGCATAATCGAAAATGCTTAATCAAATGCTTTTTGATTTTGTATTATTATAAAAGTATTTGTTTAGAAAGTTTAAGTGAAACAGCATGTTTGATTGTCATGTTGAAAATAGTTTATGTGCATGTTAATAAATTTAGTAAAAATGTTTGATATGGACTTACAACACTGTTTCAGAAGTGAAATCATTGATTAATATTAATAAAATATATCATTTTATTGATTTATATATGGTAGTAATAAAAAAAAATTTCAAAAATTAGTTCTGTAGGTCATATTGTTTTATTTGAATTCTCTGTTTTCTGTTCTATTTGTTTCCTATTTCTTCTAATCTCCATAATATGCATAAAATTTGATAAATTTTCTTACTATTAAATAAAATAAATTTGTAATCTTATTTTATATCATAATTTAAACACTAATTTTTATGAATTTATTATTTTTTCATTCAGTAGTGATTTCTTACAGTAATTTTTATAGAATAAAAGAGCTTTACATACCTGGTCAAGGAATAATTAACATTTTTATCCGAATTATGTGATGCTAGATAAATATTTATTTATCTTATATTTGTTGTATGTGGTGTGCTTTTAAACCATTGTCGTCATTTTCTTCAATCTGTTAAAATTATTATTCGAGTCAGTTTTGTTTATATAATTGTAAAAAATGTTTTTAAGAGTAGTTATAGTAATAATAATAATTTGTTTTTATGTGAATTTTTGACCTGTTGGAAATTAGCCAATTTGTATATTGACATTCATATTAAAAGTATAGTCAGATTAGCATTGCAGGTAACATTTGCCATATTTTGTTGATAAAGCATCTTTATATATGAAGTATTCTGTAGAAGTAAATCTTCAATGGCTGTTGAATAGTATCTTTCTTTTGTGGAACAATTCTTTTTGATCCAGGTAATGTACTTTGGGTACTGAAACTATTTATTGGTGCCACAAATGATGCCATTCTGAATATCACTGCTACCAGGAACAGAAAATGCTTGATTTAATTATTGTAGAATCTATTAATGGGATTTATAGGACCAACTATAAATATTCAGTTTTAAAACTTGATAGCAATTTAATGCTATTTTATTATTGTTGTTGTTATCAGCATTAGTTTATTTTCCATTACTTTTTTGTATTTTATCATTATTTTCATTGTACTGTCAAGATTAATGTTTAATAGGATTTGTTATTAATGGTAAACAAAGCAATGTAAATTGAGTTAAGTAGTATTTTAAACTATTTTACCATAAATTCAAGAATTTTAGTGAACATACAACAGAACTCAATGGTTTGTAGTTATCCAGTATTTTCTTTATTGCATTAAGATGTGGTAGAAAAATTTTCAATACTTGTTTATATTGATGATATAAATATTACTGTTTATGGTGACAGCTTGTTTTTTTCTTGTTTACTTACTACTAAAACATAAACTAAAATGCCAATATATTCTCAATAAAAAAAAAACTCACAAAAAATATTTAAAAGATGTAGTTATTTCTTCTCTAAAAATTTCATTAATTGTATATTTTGTTTCAAAGATATTAAAAACATAAAATACTTTCTAATTAAAAAATTAATGATGATTTATATTTGTGATATGATGTTTAAGCAAGTAGTTGTGATAAATAATAATACGTTTATCCTATTTAGTGGGCTTATAAACAGTCAACTAAGCCCAGAACTGTCTGCATTTGTATGAATTGCTGTTATGTTTAGCTGTTTGTTTATATTTATTAATTCTTTAAGATCATCTAATTCTGTTAGTCATTCATATGCATTGTATATGCTTATCTACAGTTCAATTCTTTATGTCAAAGATGATCTTGAAGATTAAGCAAAGGATAATTTTCAGGAATGCAATGGAAAGAACAACAGAAATAGAAAATAAATGAAAAGTTTTTAAAATTAAGATATGTTGTCGTCGTTTTTTTTTAAATAAATTCTCACACACTTCGTGTAACATGCCAAAGTTAATTGTCTAAAGCACACTAATAAATAATATTACTTAAAGATTGGCTTGTTTTCAAAGTATATAATAGATATATTGTATCTGAGTAGATAAGAAATAATGTATACAATCTTTATATAACTTCGGAATAATCAAAACATCTGCAATTTAGGTAATTTCCCGTGTCGAAAATCATTTCTGGCAAGAGGCCACCGGTATCGGATTTAAGGACCGATTAATCAGTCGAAACGTCTTTTTTTAAAGTTGAAATTTTCTCCATTTAAACCAATGAATACAAAAATAAGTTGATGGATAACGTTTTTATACAAGTTATACAAACGATACAATTCTAGTTTTAAAAATTCGTTATAAAATAGGTATGCAATGCTATAAAATAGAAAATTTAATAGTGGTTACTTTTAGCTAACTTGTGTATATATTTATACGTGCACAAATTACCTAAAGTAACTTCTACTGAAATTTGCATGTGTGAAACATGCTATTTTGCGCATCATTTTCTACATTTTATTTTCTAGAATATCTGTTAATGGCTTTCGTCGTGGAAAACAATTACAAGAGAAATGTGTGCTTTGCATTTTTCTAGATTTATCACATAAAATAAGAAAAAAATCAGTTATACTTTTATCGGGAACAGTATAAAACGTTACCCGAAACCTATAAAAATATGGTTTTAACATATGAAAAACTGTATAAAAGTACATGACATAGTTATATAATGTATACTAGTACTAATAGACACTATAAAATAGTCTAGTAAAAGTTCTAGAATTTAAAAAAGCCGAAAAAATGCAGGAGTTGCAGGTTAATCAGTACGTAAGTCACGTTTCACGCCATTTTTTTAATAGGAAAGTCATTATCGGTTCCGAAAACGTTACAAGGAGAATTATAAAGAAAATATCTAACGATAAAAATAACAATAAATTCTAGAAAAAGGGAGATAAACTCACAAAATAGTGCAAAGTAATGTAAATGACGCGTCGATTCCGTATCTTTGTTTATGTATTTATAATTACGAAGGTCATCCGATGTCTAGAATAATTGTGTTTACTGTTAAAAATAAACAATAACAATAGTTGATTCATTCAGTAAATATTTTCTTTGTGCATTTTTTTAGTGTGTTTATGATAATAATAAACGTTAAAGGAAAGAACAGAACCTACTGGCCTATATTTGAATATTAATTTTAGATTATCGATCGATGGATAACAGCCGAGTTATTTTTTTATGATGGTGTAAAACCGAACGGTTATTTAAAGATGTGGAACTATAACTAACAATAAATACGCACTAAGTTTATGGTTAGTTTTGTATTCTGCTCGGCTCGTTGGCCAGAAGCAAAGACGTTTAACTCATTCTCTGCTGATGTCAATGCCAAGTATGTTGCCAAATTTTTAGTAGGCGCCTAGCATTGTCTTGCCGATAACTTTGATGTCAAAAATTGTCTGAAATGTAACCATTAGAAGTTATTTTCCTCGTTTAGGGTGCTTCATGCGAAGCGTGTTTCGTAAATATCTAGCGCAAAGTAAGGAAGTCGTTATTTGTAAGTACAAAAAAGTTACGACGAGGTAAAATACATTTAAAAAAAGAAAATAAAGTAATGCGGCCTTTCAACACATTATTTTCAATATCGATATATTAAATATCGATATATCGTCTAGTGATTTTTAAAGGTTGATGCGGTTGAATTTATTTTCAGAGCCTTTAATTAAACATGCCAGAAATATTCTACATTTCTACAGTAAATTTTACGTTATAACCGAGTGAACAACTGCAACTTGTAGTTTCCTCGTTATTTCTGTGTTTTTTAGGTGTATCCCCCTAAATAACGTCATATAAGTGATCAAGGAACTTTCAACTAAATGACTTTTGTTTGTTTCTTCACTACTAGGTGCATAAATAGACACAAGGCATTTTACATGTCTTGTAGTGAAGAACCAAACAAAAAAAGGAAGACACGGTCTCGGAAATACATAAATGACTTTTGTAGTTGAACCTTTCCCGGTTCGTTGATATGACTTTATTTGGGTGTTTCCCAAAAATATTTTTGAATCGTGGCCAATTATCGTAATCATAAATTGTATAAACTAATACAAATGAAGTTTGGCAGAATTTTAATTTTAGTTTTAATTGGGGATAAAGTAAATCCCTATAGAATTTTAGGAAATTGTCTGTATATTTCTATTGTGTACAATATTTGTTTACTATATATAAATCTATTATACATTATTTATGTGTAATAGTAAACAAATCTAATGCAAGAAAAATATAAATTTTAGTATATTCCAAATTGTTCTTACTTGGCTTAGAGAACATTCTAATAAAAAAAAAAGCAAAATTCGAATTTCACTAGGCATTATAAGCGTTTCATTAGGACGTTTATTGCGCCAAGGAAATAAGTAAATATTTATTATAAAATCCCAGGAAAATTCAAAAATATTTATTTTATTGTCTTTCGTGGCATTTCATAATGCAAAAAGAAAAGAAAAAACAATTTTACCATGGAGATTTTGTCCTAGATTTTCCCACTAATCACATATTGTATAAGTTACATCCTATAGAATAGATATTCAGCGACCTTCAAAATTCAATTTTCGTTTTCTTGTTTTCCTTGATACACGGCATCGAGTCTTACAATATCACGTAATAAACACAATTATAAGTGTACTTCTTGCTAAATATATAATTTCGAACCGTTACAAAATAACAAAAGTGAAGAAATAACTCGAATCGGATGCTGTTACTTGTGAACTACGAGTAGAATTAATTTTGCAGGTCCAATTCTTCCATCCCTAGATTGCGAATGGGAGTTTTATATCATTTCTGTATATTCCTATGCGTGTGGTTTATAGATGATTACAATTTGTGTCTTTAGATGAGGCCGTAAATGGGACAAACGTGTCCAAATTGTGGTCAGGGTCGACATTGCAGCGTAGGGTCCAAATAATTCAATAATTACTTTCGCATTGACGTTAATGAAGCGCAATATTGCATTAGTTACTTACACCTTGCGTAAAATGTTACGTGTCTACTGTTGTGGCAATTTTTTAGCGGTTAATGGTTTAATAATTGTTTAAAAAGTGGTTGCAAAACAGAGTCGAGACAAAACTTGAAGGCTGTCTACCTTCTTCTATAATGTTTATCTCTTCGAAACTCTAAAAATGGTGGGCGTTAACGGATGTTAAATACTCTGGTAGATGCTGCTGTTATATAATATATGTACGAAATTATCTCATGTACGCCTATCGATGTTTTTAGATACAAAATAACCGTTACGTTGAATTCGATTAGATATTTTTAATGCCTTACGAATTGTTTACAATGAGATAACTCTTTATCTCCTTCGTTACTTACGTTACGCTTCTACGTATCCCTTTCCTGTTATTCAGATCCAAGAGAATTATTATCTAACTGTAAAAATATTTGTTGTTTACGTTTAAAAATAGAAATATATCTCTTCACACGATTTACATAAAAAAATAGATTAGAGCAGAGTTTATTTTGAGTGTTAAGTGCAATTTTGGTAGCGATTATTTAACTAAAAATTTAAATTTTTAGGTCATGCACCTAACTGAATGTAACATTGTGAAGATTCGGTGTTTTCAAACAATAATTTATACATACACAATGCTTTTTGTTCAATTTTTGGACCATAAAATATCCAGTTAGTGGAGTGAAGCTCCTGTACTTACCGCATGAATCTTCCCCTCATTTAACGCATGTTACGTTACTATCCACTTCGAAAATTAATTAATGTCACGAAAGCGAAGTAGGCGTAAAAAAGAACACATTTTTTTTCTGTTTGTTGATCATTAAATCAGTTTTTCTCCACCTTTCTTTATGAAATATTATAACTAGATCATAAAACCTGTGCGAATGAGGAAGTGTTACGCGCTTCTAGTTTGCCTACAGACTAATTTAAAAGTTGTTAAGCCTATTAAATATATAGGTGTACGTGATCTAACTCCCGTATTCTTGTCCCCAAAAATTCAAATTATCTTAATTTATAAAATATTTTTTTGCGACTTCTACGAAAAGAGTATAAGAACGAGAACTACAATACCAAGAATTAAAGCATTGCCTAAAATTAATAAATGATTGAGGTAAATGTTAGAAAATTAATAAAAACAATCTTTAAATTTATACACAAGAATTTATTAACATGCTTGAAGTTTATAGATTTGTCCTCGAGTAAACAGTAATTCAGGAACGTGAGTAGGGAATTTATATTGTTTTCCTCATAATTTATCTGATAAATGATCTTGAAGTTAAACAGACTCATAAAATTAACTGTGATAACCAAAATTGCCTATTAATTAGACACTTTCCCTCACTTTCCCTGAGCATCACGTGGACTATGATGATCCTTTTTGCTATTTTAATTGCGTAGAACAGCGCGGATTATAGACTAAATTAATAATTATTACGGCATTATTAATGATATTTAAGATTGAATGACAGTTTATAATCATACAGAAACGTTTTTATATCCCCAAATTTAATTGAACTTGACACTCAGAAAGTCGATTCTTATCACCCAACGATACGATTTATTATCTTCTATGTGTAATACATACATCAAGTTACATAAGAAGTCCTTGATCGCAACGTTTTTATTCCAAACCGGTGAGAAGCTAAGAAAATAACACAAAAAACCCCTCATAAATTACGTGATCCGATGACGTCAAAGAATGTCGAAAGTGAAGAGAAAACTGTGCAGATTTTTATTATCCTCATCAATAACTAGTAAGATAACGATTCAAAAAATAAATAAAACCGACTAACGAAGCAATTTATTTTACTTTTTGTTTTCTTAATTTGCACGTTTAACAAGTCCCCACACGTTTCAATAACATTTAGGTACAGACATTGATGACGTAGGTTCGACTAAAGTACAAACGTTTATGTAACGTGGCATTCAGCCAGTTGGAAATAGGCCACTCGTGAACTGTTACGTACTGTACACTAAGCGGAAAAGTCGATTTAACAATATTAAACTAAAACTATAACACGTTTAACCCGACCCATTGGATAACTTGTATCTAGGATAAATGTAGGCGTACGAGTCAGAAATAAGTTAAAAGTTGAGTCGCTCGGGGGTAATCTTTTGTTAAAAGAGTAATAGTTACGAGTCTGACATAAGCGACAAAAGCTCGAAAACTGGTGGATTACCTAAATCCGTAGTAACAATTTGTAACCTACTATGTGTATTTAACAGTAAAATAGGTAAACGCAAGTTATTGTACAGTACAAACAATTTTGCTTTAGCTACCCTCGAAAGGGAACAACGTGTAAATCTTAGTGAAAGCTTACAAATCACGTGTTTATTTTTAAAAAAAGGACCCAAGACCGCAGGAGAAAGTGTATTAAGTTCTCAATACGATCCGAACCCTTTCCATTAATTATATGAACATATGATGTGATTCCTGGTGTGAAGTTATAATTTCTCTCTAGTTGTAACATTTCATATATTACTACAATCGTGGGTTCGTTTGCTATTACGATCAAACTCGCTTTTTTCCTATTTTTTAGTGAACATGTGCTCATACTGGCTACAGATTTACACTCTGAATTTATGGGAATCAGAATACCGAGGGCATAGTTCCAAGAGCAATCAGATACTGTAGTAAACTGATACAAAACTACAGTAAATATATATTAAGAAATTTTTATAGTGTTTTATCCGAAAAGTCGGTAAATTTTAGCATATAAGTTATTGAGAATCATTATAAAACGTATTTACACTAATTGATGAACTTTGCCCTTTTCAATGAACAACTTGAATTTTACTTTGCAACAGTTTGAACCTTTATTTTATCTAAAACTAATATTTTATGGAATAATACACGAAAAATTACGGTTTACTTTAAGCAAAACTTGGTCTTAATTAAGATTTTTTGAATTAGTGAGAAAAATCAACTTTAATTTACTGAAGATACAGCAATCAGCGCATGGACATCGCCACCGTGGCAATACCACGTGTTGGCTTCTAGGATCTTCAGTAAATTAATTCAATTTTTCTAGTCTAACGGAACTTAAGCTGTATTTTGTTTTCGATATAACGGTACTAACGTGGTTAGAATACAGTATACCTGGAAGAATATAGTAAACACGAAAGTGGGCCTTAATTTTACAACCTGGCAGCATGCCCTCAAGGAGTTTTGACCTTGATCGCGGGCAATTAATGTATCTCTGCAAAGTAAACAGATTTTTTTAGCTGTTTACGAATTTCGTTTCCCTGTTTCCGTATCCAATTTGTGTGGGAAAAACTCCAGAAATCCCTGATTTCTTCTGTTTTTGGGGTGACATTCACCCGTCGGGTATTGATAAACCTAAAAATATACAAGAAAATGTTTATAGATTGGAATTTTTGTGAATTTAATTCATCGCACAGATCTTTCGACGTGGAAAACATCCGTCGGATATCAATTCTGATGGATGGATGAACGAGATGATCCAGATCGATATCGGAATGCACTTCCTCATTCGTCAGTTTGAATGTAAATTAATAAACGAGAAAACCCGATTAAACTCTTCACACTTCTTAAATGCCAATTATAATATCTGTATCGATGGTGTTAGTTGGAAATTTAGGAGTGATAAGAAAATTGATACGCTTTTTTCAAAATTAATTGATAAAATCTAATGTCCTGATTTAAATATACGAAAAAATATCTATAAATATTATGCACTGTTTATGTCTTATCAGATAAAGTTTTCCTAATTGATACGGCGAATTCGCTATCTGAGATCAAAAATCTACGTTAAATACTGCTGCCATCTTTCGGTATAAAATTAAATTAATACACTTTTTAAAAATTTAATTTCCAGATAATTTAAAAACATTTATAATACGTTTCGTTTAATAATATTTATATGGTAATTAATATTTGATTATAAGCATATTAATTATCATACACCTACAACTTTTACCAAAAAGAAAAAGAAAAATTAAACTTTTAAAGCGAAACTGTTATTAGTTGCTTTGAATTTAGTAGCATTCTCTAATTGGTTATTTCATGTAGATAAATAAGATACTCATATTTATTGGTTAATTCAAATTTTATCTACAAATCGTTTGTTAATGAAAGAATGAATCTAAATGAACCTAATATGATATAGAATTTTTTAAAATTTTATTTTAAACTTTAATAATAAACGATTATTTTTCTGTTATTTAAACAAATATTTATAAAGATAATCAATTTCACATTAAGCTACTCTTAAACCTTTACCAGCAAAGTTATTTATTAATACAGTATATATAAATAATTTTGCTGGTAAAGGTTTAAGAGTGGTTTAATATAATACCGAATATCAGTCTGTAAAGCATATTTGATATTAAATAATTAATCTTACTTTACAAATCCTTATTTTTTTAATTAAATTAATTTTTTAATTTAATTAATAAATTTGTAAATATGATTTATAATTTCTACATTATTATTTAACAAATATTAAACGAATTTACTAAATAATGAATTTATAAACTTTTTGTTTTATTATTTACAAGCCAAATTTGTCTTCCCTACGCACTAATAAACTTTTTTAAAAGATGGATGAGAGTGATCATTGTGATGTATCAGAATTATCATTCATTCATAAAGCATTTCAAACAGACGATGTCGATGAAGTGAAGCGCATAATTAAGTTTACAGAGGACGTTAATGTCACGGATAAATATCAAAGAATACTGCTTCATTTGGCAGCAATTCAAGGTTTTCATAATATCGTAATTGTTTTGCTAGAAAGCGGTGCTAACGTAAATGCTGTGGATTGCGAAAATCGTACGCCGATATTCAATGCTGTTCAACATGGACACAATGAAATTGTTAAATTATTACTGGAGAAAGGGGCAGATATATCTCTTAAAGATAAAAATGGCAATACAGTCTTGCATATAGCGATTGCTAACAAATTCGTAGAGATTGCCATTATTCTTATTGAAAAAATACCGTTTGTGGACATAACTAATAAGAGAGGACAGACCCCTTTGCACTTAGCTTCTCTTCTTGGTTTGGTAGATATTGTCAAAAGTTTGTTACGACGAGGTGCTTCTATAGAATATCAAGATGATGAACACCAGACTCCTTTAATAATATCTTTTAAGGAAGGTCATTTAGAGATACTAAATCTTCTTCTTCAGAAAACTATAAATGAGGATTCTTATCATTCTAAAAGTGAAACTAGCAATGAAACGGACAATGAATATATACAGGTTTCGAATGAGATAGAAAGATCAGAAAAATTACAAAGAAGTAATATTTACCCAAGGATTGTTGAAGTATCATCTAATATTCATAATTCTGCAAATGGCTCAAACGAAATATCAATAGGAGGTCAAAGTTTGTCAATGGTGTGTATTCCTCAAGATAATACATTTGATAAAGATATTATAGATTTGTGTGAAATTGCAAATGGATTAATGAGTTTTGCTAGTCGACTAGATGCAATACGAAACGTTATGAATCAGTTACACATGAACGAACAAAGTTATGAACATAAACTAAAAACTTTAAGCGTAGAATTACTAAACGAACAAAAGTATAAAAATAGAATTGAGAAAGATTTCGAGAATTTCAAGTCTACGATCGCCTCTTCAGAAAACCAATTGAAATGTAATTATTTAAAAATTCAAAAATTAAAAACAGAAATGGATATTTTGAGAAAAAGGATGAAAGAAGAAAAACAAACAACATATAATCTTGAAAATTACACCAATGAGTTAAAACAGAGAGAAATGGCTTCTTCATCAGTAAAAACTAAGGAAGATGAATTGGACGATATAAAAACTCAGATTAAAAAGCTGAATGCAGAAAATTATTCATCGATTAATCAAAGAAACTTTCTTAATATCGAAATTAATAATAAAATTAATGAAATAGAAGAATGGGATAATAAATTAGCCATTGCAAAAAATGAAAAGTCAAGATTTCAGATGCAAATTGAAATTTTGCATAAAGAGATAAATATGAAGCAAGAAACTTTGAAGGATCAGTTACACATTAACGACAAGAATTTCCTACAATTAAATTTTGAAAAGGAATCTCTTGAGAAATGTTTAGACATGGAAGTTAAAAAAAGACTAACAGTCGATAAAAAAATAGTCATCAAAGAAAAAGAATTACAAGAAATGAATGTAAAATATAGCAGTGTAAAAAAGGAAATTAATAAAATACAACAAGTATTAGAAAATCAATCACGATTGCATTGCAAGTCGGAACGAGAACTCCGAAATCGAGCGGAACAATTAAGAAAAAATAACCAGAACCTGCTTAAAAGCATAAACGAATTGCCTTTAGCATTGCAAAATACGGAATTTCAATTAGAAAAAGAAAATTCGGAAATAAATAGAATATTCACAGATCTTCAAGAAAATTTCGAAAAAACGGATTTACTCTCCAGAGATCAGAATCAATTGCAATCTTTCTCCAATCATTATTCTGTTTTCAATGAATTGGTGTCAAATTTTGAAGATGACAACAAGAAAACAGATGACCATCATCCTAAACGAAAATTATTTAATTGTTTGAGTCGGAAGTTAAAAACAAAATCGCGCAAACAATGGACTCTTTGAAATCAATCATGGACATATTAATGCAACAATTTTCCAAATAAAAATGGACTTGCCTATTAATCAATATTTAAGTTTCTTTCAATCAAAGATCATTAACTGTTATAATTTTAATGTTATTCATATTCATTGAATTTGATTCTCGTGAAACAGCAATGAAAACGATTTTTAGATAGAAAAACATTAAATGTGAACGACTATAATCTTTAAGTTGATAAGGTTTCATATTTATAATCTTTATGAACCTTAAAGCTTATCGCAATATAAAACTATAAAAAAAATTAATCAGAAAATTTTTTATATTACCAATAGAGCAGTCAGAAACACCACCCTGTTCATAGGTTTAATCAATGGTGAATTCGGGGAGGGGAAGTGGCAAAGAGGCATATTTCTCTCCATAAACTATAAATATATAGATTATATATTTTATACAAAAAAATATATATATATACATAGCTTTTATAAAATACAATACGATACAATAATAATATCGATATTAGTTCATATAAAAAGAAGTTGTAATATAGATAGAACTATAAATTATAAATCATATTGTCCTTTAGCAATAAAAAAAAAAAAACAATTTTGTAACGGCTTTATCCAAGATTTGGATTACAACAACAATATAAGAAGAAAGGATTAAGGAACAACGTAAGTTGTTATACACATTTTTATTAAATGGTTATTCCCGCAGTTTATTAAAAATAAAAAAAAGTCTATAGAATGTAATAAATATAAATTTAATGCTAAATATAGAAATGAGAATAATATACATGTGTCCTTTCCTTATATTAAAGGTTTATTCGAAAAGTATAAAAGTAGATTTAAAGATTACGGGATTATATTAACTGCTAACTTAAAAAATAAAATTAAACCTAGCAAAACAAAACAGAAGGGAAATATAGAAGACGCTGGAGTAGTCTATAAATTTAATTTCACATGTATAAATGTAGTTAATTATATATGTGAAACCAGGGCCAGATTTGAAGCGATTGGTTTAATTTGCGCCAATCAGGAACCGCGCTTGAAGGGGCCCCGCAGGACATCAAAATTTATATATTTAAAAATAGTTTCAAATTACAGAATAGATTAAACAGTTTAGCGATCATGTCGATTGAGAGTCAAGAAGCAAGCCAGTTGGATTTTCATACTATTTTAGAAGATTTTACAGAACAAAAACTTCGGAACATATAAAACATCTCTTTATAGGTTTATATTCAATAAAATTCAATTATATTCATTCATCAACACATTAGAAGATTTTTCATGGCAAAAATTTATGTAGTTATATTCATTTAAAAATATAGAAATACTAAAACATATCTATGTATGTTTATATTCAATAAAATGTAGTCAATTTATAACTTAATAAGTAATATATTCATTGAAATTTTAAAATGTTAATAGATTATTATAGTTTTAAAATTATTTTACTTTTGAAAATTAAATTAGTCCAGTTTTAAAAAATAATTTAGTGTAATGGTAAAATTTATAACATTAAAATATGAGAGGTAAAGTTCCATGTTGTTTTGAAATAATAAATTTATCACAATTTTATTTTTATTAAATTTATATATACTAGATATTNGCCGCTTTCCCGTAAGCCTAAAAGTTTGACGATGGTGTTTGGAATGTCGAGCGTGATTCCACCGACTATCCAAACACCATTGTCAAACTTTTAGGCTTACGGGAAAGCGGCGCCGAACGTCACACGTACACGTTTACACGTTTAAAACGTGCGCCTCAACCTCTCTAATAATGTTAAAATCCTCTACAAAAAAAGACATGTATTTACGTAAATTTAAGGAACATGTGGCAATTGTACAGTACAGTACATGCAAATAATTAAATGAAAACAGAAGGAGCATGGTTTGAGATCGTCCGAAATAAAAGCTCGTGTAAAAGTGAATATCGGTTAATAGATGGTATACAAACAGAAAATTTGTAAAAGAAATGAAAGGTCAGTTGTACGTTTATATTGATACTAGTGTTTTGTAGACTCTAAACATTGTATTTTTCTTTTATTATAGCCTGAAGAGAGGTGAAAATATTTGTGTCCAAATCATCCGAAATGCATAACTTGTCTTTTTGAAAAATAAATGATTGTTTTTCTTTCCTTGGCGTAAGTTCTTTGCGTCTGATAAAGGGGAAAATAGAATCAATATTTTTTGATTTTTAAGTTTTTGTTTTAAAGCTTGTTTTGAAGCTAAATCAACAAATAGTAACAAAAAAAGGATTATAAATTTATGTCCCATGTGCTCCTAATCATAATATAGACATTCTAGAAGATAGTTATAGAATAATAATTTTTTTGTATTACTTTAAGTAGGTAAGAACATAGTAATAACTTTACAGGAAAATTTGGGGAGGTCATTTCTTTTTGACGATCTTCATACATTCCTTCTGTTATGTAACAGCCGGAAAAGTATAAAATATATATATATATATATATATATAGAGTGGTCACTAATATTTGATTTCAAAATGTTTCCTGTAGAAATTGCGAATTTTATAGTATTACTGTAATTTTCTTAATTTATTTTTTCTGTTGAAACTCTTATCAATTAAAATTTCACTGTTGCTTGATTTTATTCTTAAAACTCATTGCGTAAGAAAAGTAGGTAGTAACAGTTTAAATTCGGATATTGAATGACGATGAAGTAATGAATTAAGATACATTCCTGATGTATTTGATCATTTAATAATTTATAAATATCTTTAAATGATAAATGTATTCTACGATGCGGATGTCTGTACAGATCTATCATTCAGATGGTAATTTATTCGACAATATAACTCTAATATTTTACTACGAAATAGCTTACAATTTAAATAAATTTTGTTAGAAGAATTAATCAGCATTGTTTCATTTCCTAGAATGTTTTGGTAATATTTCTTAACTCATTTCCGTACTTGGAAGTGATGTACTGTACAAAGAATGCGTTTAGTTTGTAATAACAGAATTATAGTTTAAAGCAAAATATGTACTGTACAGTGGAGTTATCTATAACGTAATGTAGCAATTTATAACTACAGTTTATTTTTCTGGGTGAGATAAAATAGTGATGTTATTGCTTTGTTGAACAGTAACTCATTGACTTTCTAGCTTGTGGAAAGGAGAATATGTTAATGTGGAGGTTACTTCATCAAATTCACTGTTACTGTATATTCATAACGTTAATTCCAAATTTGAAGAATAAACATCAAATATGTTTATTTTTATATCTTTTTCGGTTTATTTATTTTTTAAGTGTATATGAAGTTCGGAACTCCCCTTCGAAACCTACGAACTTTGGAATCCACGCTTATTAATTTATGGATTATGGTCAATTAGCAAACCAACTTTTTGTTAAAAACATATTTAATTAGCTGTTACCGCGATTTCGCCGCGTGGATTTTGCAAGAAAATCCCATTTATATTCAGTATTTCAACAACCATAGTAATTGTTATAAAACACCTACGCTGAGAATCAAACGAACTGTTTTCAATTTGATCAATTTTCTGGAATGTTTAAAATCGTTCTATAATCGAACCAATATGCAATAACAAATTCGAATTTAAAACGGTTCGAACATTTGGTTAAAAGTCGAAATATATAAAAATATTTATAACAATGTCTGAAATGTTATCAATTTATTACACCTAACTATTCAATGAAGACTAAACGTAGTTGAAAACGAAAAATCGCATCTGAAATAGTACAGTAGAAGCCGTTCTTTAGGTTAAGCCTTAATTCTCTCCCTCTCCCCCAGCGGGGAAATTTCGAAAATTCTCTTCTTAATGTGCGTTTTTATGACGTATCCTAACTGTGTACCAAATTTCTTCTCTTTAGGTTCAGCAGTTTGCTCTGGGCATGAATCAATCACTCAGTCAGTTAGTCAGGATAAGTAATTTTATATATTTAGATTATCGGGCATTTCGGAATTGCAATTCGTGTTTTTGTTTCAAAATATCTCAGCTTTTATCCACCTTCTTAGTAATTTAATTGTAATTAACAGTGGCGTGCCGTGACATTTCATGATGGGGAAGCTGTGTTTCTTTAAGAAGCCGACTTCCAGGGACAATCAGTTAATTCTTTCTATAAATGTATTTTTAATAGATTATTCATCTGACGTACTTAATAAATAAACAAGTTCAATATAATTAGCTCTGTTACTAGATCCAATGTGGCCGAGTGGACTCCGTCTCCGCTTCATGGTGGTGACCAGACCCTAAACACCGCAGTTCGATCGGGAGTTCGCGCCTCGCTCGGACGAGCTAGCAGCAGGAGTTTTTCCGGGTTTTCCTCCTTGCCAATGACGCCTAAATAGGGGCCACCTTCCCCTTCAAGTCCTCCCGAAAGGCATTCTGTCTCCCTTTCTCGCGGGGGTCGTCTCCTATAAGGCCAGATTTGGTTGCTTCGTGACTTCTCTCCTATCTTCCTCGGATTGGTCGTCTTCAATAAAACCACTTCTTCGGTCGTTGTGCGACCAACTACCCTGTTCCTTCCGGAGTGATCAGCGAAGAGCAGTAACACTCCACTATCGTCGATGAGATGAGATCCAATATATTCCATATGCCCTCTAAATGCCAATTCTTACTTTGATAAAAACATATAACATCTATTTATTTAGATATAATATATCTATTACCCATAATTATCTCGTTACAATTTTCAATATTTATTTTATATTATTTACTAATGTTAAATTCTATTCCGCTTCGATTTCCAAATTGCTTCAAATACGAAAGAATCGACGATTTTTCGTGTCTTTTGCCAGCTAAATTGTCAAAGACATTCTTATTCCACACACTAATTTCACTCTGTAAATGCATTTTTATGCATTTACAGAGCCATTTTATCGTGAAAATATCGAACAAATTTTTTTATTGAAGCGTTTATATTTAACTTAGGCATTGGCCTTTCTCTTTTAATAATGTTTTCTTTTTCATTATATGATCTCGAGCCAAAACTTTTTTAAAATAAATTTTCAATATCGCAATTACATTCCGAATCGCTAGCCACGATATAAGGGCTAAAATTAAAAATAAAATTATAAAAACTTACTTGGTGAAATAAAATGTGTGGTGGATATACATACCTGGTACAAAACATTCTTCAATTGTATGAATATACTTTTAAAGAAAATTATAATTAAATATAGCTTTGTAATGAAACGTACATAAAAATAACATAAAATATTCTTTACTCTTTAAATCTTAACCACTTAGTCAAATAGCTCCCTACGAGTGGAATCAGAGACGGTCCTGCTAGGTGTGCTGTGTGTACTGTACATGCACGCGGGCTGCCAAATCCCGAGGGTGCCGATACCCTCGGGATTTGGCAATGTCAAATGCTTCTTTTGTCGCATCACTAATATACCTCAAAAGACGCGACAGGGTTCTTGTAAATTTTAAACGTTTCTCACCATAGCTGTAAAAGTCTAAATATGTTAAACTTAATAGATTGTCCGTCTTTTGTTTTCTAACTAATTCGTTTTAGGACCAGGTGTTGTCCACGAAAATTTCCAAAATTTACAACTTTTCGGCCACTCTCGTTGAACTGGAAAAATGTCTGTCTTTATTACATATAATATTTCGAAGAAATCAGTCCCACTGTACTCGGCTAGAGATTGGTTCGATTAAGCTTTTGTTTAAGTAATATTCTGGCTCTTTCATCAGGGTTTTGTTTATGTCCCCAATTCCCTAATCGCTTAATTATTTAACTACTTCTTAAGTAGAAATAAGTCGAAACCGGTTACTTTGTACTCGAATACTTGTAGTCTCGGGAAAAAGTGGAAAGACAAATTTTTATGACAAACGGATATATAAATCGTAAATTTAAGGAAAATAAATACTAGAGCTTTTTCTGTACCTCGTGCATCTCTCTCATTCATTAAATGTAGTTGTAAATCATGCTATCAAAGTAACAGTTAATTTTTTAACCCTTATACGATCACTGGACGTCTGTCAGACGCTCTGCGTCAGTTTTTTCAGCGGCATTTTTTTCGAAATTTTTCAAAAAATTTCAAAAAATTCAAGTTCTCCAATTTTTTTCAGCTGCAAAAAATGCAATAAATAATTTTAAATTATTTATAAAAATGCAATAAATAATTATTTTTTTTAGAAATGTTCATAATGTGCATGAAAAGTTAATCTTCGAGGAAAAGGTGATGGAAGAAAACGATGAAGAAGAAGAGATTTCCAAAATTATGGTCCTCAAAAGTGAATACTATATTATGGATCTGGTAATCGTTTTTTAAGATTACCTATTTTTATAGACCATTTTCGAGGGCGGCCAGATGACCAGAACGATAAATTAGTTATCCTGTTCTAAGGGACCAGAATTCGAATCTGGATTAGGAACCCAAGGGTGTTTTATACGTGGTTCGTCCCGGATGCATCGAGCCAGTTTCTTACCATCTGTCTGCCTCTATCGTGAGTTTAGCCCATGATAAAATAGATGATTAAAAAATCTTTCTTAGTGCTCTCAGCATATAAAAACTAAGAAAGAAAATAAAAAAAAAAGATTGTTTTGGAGAGCCACTAAATGTTCTTTATCGCTCGTTATGCTGATGTCCTTTCAATTTAATGTAAATCAATTCAATAGATTTACATTAAAGATCGATCAAATTTTATATCAAAATTATTATCTGGTATTGTAACTTTATATCACATGGTGATTTCATGGTACATGAAATTACATTGCGATAACGACAAGTTCCTGCATATATACATATATATGAATATAGTATGAATTATATCCTGTTAGCATTACACAACAATCCCATAGAAATTTATCATCTTATTTCACAAAACAAAATGGAAGTAAACGTTTTTTCCCATTGACTCATTAAATGGTTTTACTCATTTATTGAATTTTAAATAATTTTGACTCATTTTTGATATTAATTGAGAAATGAGTCAAAGTTTTACAAATAAAAAATATTATTTCTTATTTTTAACATAACCTTCTTCTTCTCTCGGAATGCCGACACCTTCTAGGAGTTGGTATAGTCGGGCCAATTCCAAGGTCATTGGGGGATATGTATACTTGTATGATGAAAAAAATTCGTATAAAATCTAATGTTTGTATTAAAAATATGAAAACCAATAATTCTAATCCGGAAGTATGTGTACTTTTGTTTGGTATATTATTTATCTGCTTATATTTTATATTATTATTATAAAAAATTCGTATTTTATTGTTTACGTTAATGATCTGTAAATTAATTGCAATTTTATTTAATGTAATTAAATTTTATGTTTAGTTAATGTACTAATTGATAGTATACTATTAATTGGATGTTATATTAAAGTATTAGTTTATTACAGTTATCGTAAATTATATTAATTTTAATTTTAGTAAATTTTCTAACCGTTCTTTGTTTAGCCAACAATCGAATC